CAAAACCAGTGAAATAGTGACTAATAAACCAATGTATTGGTCAAGAGAGCAATTAAAGATCATTCCATAACAAAATACTCCCCTGAATTAAGAGTGTTAGCACTAACTTTAAGCTTCTACAGTATGAAGGCTTATACATATGTGAGGGAAAAATTTAACAATTGTCTTCCACATTCCAGTACTTTATCAAAGTGGCATTAGGCTGTTGATGGTTCTCCTGGATTCACTGAAGAGCATTGAAATTTAAAGGCGGAGAAAGTTAAAAAAGTAATAAAAAAGGTTTTTTTAAAATCATTTGATAAATGAAATGGCAATTATGCAAAGGGTGGAATGGACTGGCCAAAAATATATTGGATATGTTGATATTGGCACCAAGTTTCAACAAAATCAGTCAGTTGAAGCAAAATAAGCTATTGTATTCGGCTTGTAAAGTTAATAAATATGTCTATTACGAATAGTTAGGTACCTACTATTTTTATATTATCTCTTGTGTATATATAAGTAGTATGTTAGTTTTTGTGTGATAATTTAAAAATGCTCTAATATAGACAGTAAAATGAAACTGAACATTTTTTGCCTGAAAAAGTGTATGATATATCTCACGAATAAAATGTATTTTTTTGTATTCATCCCATTCTATAGGTAATTGGTTTTTAACTGTTAAGTGGTGACCTAAACAAATAAAGAATAAATAAATTACATGGGAATTATGGTAGCATTAATGTTTATTTTATTTTTTGATTTGTTGTATAAATAGCTTACTTCCACACACATATATCTAGGCATAGCCAATAACTATGTTTTGATTACATTGATTAATAATTTTATTATAAAACATGTACATTTTATATTATTACTACTAGAAATAAATTATTGTTATTTGTTTTCATTTTTCTTTTATTTTCTCTATATAAAAAATATTTCAATTTCTTAATGATCTACTTTAACTAAACGAAAATAATGTGTGATCACGAATTCATTTGAAAGCATACAGTTTCAAAACCTATATCTACAAATAAAGAAAGTTTTTAATCCTAAACGAACATATAGTCATTTCCAGTAAAACATGTATACAATACAATGTATAACGGAAGCTTAACATAAATAGAAAAAGAACATTGTTTAATAAATTTGTTTATTAATCATGCGAATTAATTATCTAAATTATTAGTGATTGTGAAATTATAGTGCATAAATGGTAAACATAAATACGAACCCTTTCAAACCGTACGCCATTGAGAATGGCGTCCCTGCCCTTCTCCCCTCACGTCAAAAGTGATAACCTTGCTTATACATAACAATACATTGAATGATATCTCTAGTCTTATATGCTCTAAGTACAAAAATAATTAATTGATCTCAGAAGAAAACACAGCCTCCTTGTTATTTTATCATTAGGAACTCGAGGTAAGGAACAAAATGAACCAGTAATGATACATTAATGTTTTAGGTGAACGTAAAAAAAGAAAAACAAACCAGTCTGGGACAAAAATACTAAAATTGGTGGAGGATCAAATGTACAACTCAGGTACTACGTATGTCATACTCCCGTCTATTGGTAAGATGAATTAAATTCTAAGAATAACAATTAGTAGAACAGAGATTAGTCAACTCATACTGCTAGTTTACAACAAATCGAATTTAATGTCGAGTATTTCGAGCTATCAATATGCATGTTACACTCTTGAGTATCTCGGAGCCCGGACCAAAGTTACTAGATCCGAGGCATAGGAATGTGGAGTACAATAAGAAAGCCGACGCGTTCGCTAAAAGAGAAACCGAATCTGAGTTCATAGGACCAGGGGCCCAATTCTCGAAACATGCGTTAACTGCCGCATGCGCTAAGTAACGCATGGTCGTTAACGCATACGACAGCAATTTAGTATTCCTGAACACCATGCGATAATCGCGAATCAAGTCGAACGTGTTAACGAAGAGTCTTTGATTATTGCATAGTCTTAACCAATAAGGATTGAGAATACCAAAGATGGTATCACTAAATATGAGATAATTGCATTGACATATGTCAAAATTGCCAAAAAAATGCAAAAATTATAAAACTAAATGGATTGCAGATGTCTAATAATTTTTGGTTTTTGGATGTTTTAACTGTGATTATTTGTATTTTGGACTTGAGAATTGGAGTGGTTTAGATTTAGAATATTAAAAATGGAACAGCGTGGTTCACGAATAACGGAAAAACAGCGTGAAACTTTAGTAGAATTTATAACATTGTTTAGTGCCTGTAAAACTCCTATGATAAAGCAGGATTAATTGACAATTATAACAGAGACAACCACATACAAAAGAAAATCAAAGTATGTGGAGACAACCCTCTGATTATAACCTTACTTTTACCTTAACGAATGCGACAAGGTGGTTGTCGAACGGTCATGAGCGCTCTTTGAAAATCACCATTTTTTAGGGCATGCGTTAATAAATTTGACGAATGCCGCCAGTTCAGGAATACACTTTCATCAAGTCGCATACGTTATCGCATGCGATAAGTTAACGAAGGCGTCAGGAATTGGGCCCCAGGGGCCCAATTCTCGAAACATGCGTTAACTGCCACATGCGCTAAGTAACGTATGGTCGTTAACGCATACGACAGCAATTTAGTATTCCTGAACACCATGAGATAATCGCGAATCAAATCAAACGTGTTAACGAAGAGTCTTTGATTATTGCATAGTCTTAACCAATGAGGATTGAGAATACTAAAGATGGTATCACTGAATATAAGATAATTGCATTGACATATATGTCAAAATTGCTAAAAATGCAAAAATAAAATTAAATGGATTGCAGATGTGTAATAATTTTTGGTTTTTGAATGTTTTAACTGTGAATATTTGTATTTTGAACTTGATAATTGGAGTGTTTTAGATTTAGAATATTAAAAATGGAACAGCGTGGTTCACGAATAACGGAAAAACAGCGTGAAACTAGTAGAATTTATAACATTGTTTAGTGCCTGTAAAACTCCTATTTCTTCTATATCATCCATACTAAATAAAATATACCAAAATAAACTGGCACTTAAGCGTCCAATAAAAGAGTTCACGGTACAAAAAGTTTAATTTTTATATTCTAGTAACTAATAAAATGTTCAAAAAAGTCAAATTAAAAATAAATATTTCCCAATAAATCACAAAACATAACTAATACATAGAAACATGAATCAGAATCACGTATGATAAAGCAGGATTAATTGACAATTATAACCTTACTTTCACCTAAACGAATGCGATAAAGTGGTTGTCGAACGGTCATGAGCGCTCTTTGAAAATCATCATTTCTTAGCGCACGCGTTAATAAATTTGACGAATGCCGCCAGCTCAGGAATACACTTTCATCAAGGCGTCAGGAATTGGGCCCCAGGACCAATCGTGGGAATTACAAAGAGCACTGCTAAAGGAATTATTTCAGAGGGTGTAATACTCACGAATTGGAGAAATACCCCATGTCTAACGAATGCGTTTATAACCAACCCTTCCATGAACGTCTATGTAGGAAAGATCTACACATTTTCATGGGACTGATGACAGTACATTATCGTCTAGGTAACCACATAAGAAAGATACGTCTGCAACAAATACCGTACTGTTGATTCTGCAGCGTGGAAGACTAATCCGCATAGCATATTCTATGCACCTGTTCCGCTTTGGAAACAAGTAGGTTCCAGATCTTCGTAATCACCCGACTGGAGCCTACTAATTTTAAACAAGTTTCACCCAATTATACCACGGTCTTAATCAAAAGGTGTGGCTTGTATGGCGAACTTAGACATGAGCCACAAACGATCCATCTGAGTCGCAGTGGAATGCGATGAGATCAGCCGACTCATTTTCAACCTAACCTAATCCCTGTACCACAGCGATAATACAGCACTGTGGTATTGTCAATTATTAATAATAAAACTAATTCAACTTAATTGGTCGAAACCAGGGTCACGTTACATATAAATTATATTCACTCTTTATATATATGGGGGGTTTTGGTTTGGTGGTTTTAATTTTAAATTATTAAGATTTAGGAGTTCCCTGCTTTTACAATTTCTATATCGAGGAAAGTTCTACCTATATATCTATATATATACAAAAAATGGGTAAAGTATTTTACCTAGAACTTTCTTCGATATAGAAATTGTAAAAGCAGGGAACTCCTAAATTTTAATAATTTAAAATTAAAACCACCAAACCAAAACCCCCTTTTTCACGTTTCTGTTTCCATCGATCTTCCTCTTGATCCCACCCGAATTCTCACTTCGCGTCCACTCGGTATTCTTCGTCACGATCACCCTTATTGAATAATAATGATTGGCTGCTATTAAAATGGTCCAGTTACTTAAACCAAAAGGACGATTTTTATTATTTTCATTCAAGTGGGACCTTTTTTGATTAAATAAGATTCCTTTTAGCGCCATTTTAAATTTTCGAAAACTTATTTATGATCTGTAATCTTTGACCTCTAAAATTCTCAGATATCAATTTTAGTCGAAATCTGCCCTTTTAAACTTATTTTTATTTTAAAACTGCTCACCCTGTATATAACTGATCGAAAGTGTAACTGGATTTGAGCCAGAAAGGAACCTTATCTGCGTAAAAAATTTGAAGTTTTTCTATAAAACTGTTTTTGAGCTATCGCGCCAACAGACAGACGACAGGCAGACCGACGCAATGGGGAAACATTTTTTCGTAATCTAGGGACCCTAAAACATGAAAATCTAAAATAATCTGGGAAGGTGACTTTTTCACAATTACAATATTTTCCTTTAATAGAGGGAAGTAAAAAGCTAATGTCATTTCCAATATCCTTGATGGTTGCAAGGATTGCAAAATATGTTAATTTTTTATTTAAATTTTTTAGATCGCGTTTTACTTTGTTTATTCGATGGTTTATCGGCGTATCTTTATTCAATAAAACTACAATCTAATAAATAATATAAATTTATTTTTTAACATATTACCAATCTTAAATACTAGATATCTTTATATCCTAATATGTAATACAAAAATCATACAATGTATATCACAGCACTTTTTTAGCACACTCACAAGTATTTATATTTAAAAAAGGTTTAATTCTAAATATTTATGGATTAACTTATTAAAAAATTTCTTTTATTCAAACGTTAGGAAAGCTGAAATTCTACTACCATTTTGATGATTAAAGTGGATATTTTTAATAATTATTATTTTTATAACCAATGATTAATGACGTTTGAATAAAAAAGAATGTTTTATTTGGAGTAACAGGAACTTCTTGTGAATTATCAGTTATATAATTAAAAGTAACTGTCAGTTTTTGAAGTTGTTGTAGACAGGAACAACAATATTAAAAATAAAACAAATACAAGTGTTTCAAAATATTTGAAAATACTTAGAAAGCGTCTAGTATACCCCTTTGTAATTTTCTATATAAATGACAATTATTGCAAATAATAGGTATACCTAAACACGTTATTTGCTATTTACAATAATTTATATTTATTTAACAAAGTGTAAAAAATCAAATAGTCGGATTGCTTACATATAATTTTTTATTTATTCTAAAATATTCCAAATTTTAGGCCAAATTTATTATAAATCCGACTTTTTGTTTCAGAAACAAAAATAAAAATATTATGACAAAAATATTTATTATACATATTTTATAAACTATATATTTTTTAATAGAAAATGTCTTCAAAATCAGAGCAAATTGCAATTGAAAACAGAATAATTCAGTTGACAATTTCGAAAAAGTACTATTTTTATGAAAATATCTGAAAACGTTAGAGTGAAGAAAAACGTTAAAAGAAAAAATTTGTCATTTATTTTTATCATCGATTGCATTCGAAATATTTAACTAACATTAAAATTTATACAAAAATGTATTACAAACTTTCATTACATCTCTACATTTTCTGCCCATTTTTACTGCGTACTCTTAAATATTAAAAACCACATCGTCATTTCCTGTTGATTTCTTACAAAATATCAATTATCACAAACTTCAAATGCCACTTGTCAAAGAAGGCTTTTGTGTTCTTATGTAATACAATAACGTCAAATATTTTGACTGTCAATATTGGCTTGAAAATTTCAAATTTCAAATAATCACTATTTTTAAATTAAGAATAATTTCTTCGTTTTTTGGAAAAATATTTATCTGAAAAACTTACTGTTTAAAATATTTTTCCTGTTTCATAAATGAATGTATGATTTATAAATGAACTGAAATATTCAGTTTTACATTACAAAATAAAAAGCTGGCCAATGAAACAAACTTTTAAAACATTAATTTCACAAATATGTACTATAACGTGTTCATATCACAAAATATTAGGTATATGTATAAAACAATACGATCTCAAAAACCCCTCATATAACTGAGAGATAGACAAAGTCTTTAAAAAATAAAAAAACCGTGTACCCAGTCAAAATTAATTTTCTTGTCTGAGCCACTGACTGACAAATCGGATTTCACCGCAAAAAACGGTAAACAAATAATTAATTTAACGTGCATCCAATTCTTCTTTCGTCGATAGTCAAAGGGAAGCAGTCGCTGTGAAATTCTGTCTTCTCCTAAGTACTCTAGATTTATACAAATCTGACTTATGACAGACGACGACTGTGCCACCTTGATTCGTTGTGGGGAACTTTGTTGTTTCCGTTTCCTATAAGCGTGCCGATCATTTTTGATACGGAGAATTTTCTCGTTTTATGTGATGACTGGATTGAGCGGCAATCGTTCAAGACCGTGTCGAAGGCCGTGTATATCGTTGAGGAATTTTCTGCTACAGATACTTCGAAGAATTGACAGTTGTTTTGTACAGCTAGAGTTCGACCCTCCAGTTCCTCGACCTGGAACAAAAAAGTGGGGCTATTTATATAGTGTATTTTAAATGTTAAAAAATGATAAAAAGTTAAAATTAATTATTGTATTAACTGAAAATCAGTAGGTAAACACGTGGTTAATAATAAACCTCAATGCGTTTATTATTAGGTAACGAAATTCCAATGTTTAAATTAGGCGCACTTCGCATCGTTTGGTTTATTTTGAATACCTGTACAAATGCAATAAGAAGACAAAGTTGGTGATACAAGAAACATGCAAAACTGATTTCAACATGTTTTTATTGCTAACACAAGAACCTATTTTCAGACTCTGACTAACTCTTTATCACTTCCGCTGGATTTACGACCTCCGTTTCTGTTAGGCGTTGCTCCAATTCGCTGATTTGATTATACCGTTAGATCTAAACAAAATATTGACATTAAATTCGATATATTGCAACTAAACGTTTCACTCAGGTATGTTAACGACGGCCAAAAACAAGAATTATTGTGTAGAGATGGTGTGCTGGGTTTTTATAAAACATCAAAATATTGGCGGAGTCGACTCAACAATCCAGAGATATCGTCTGATATTCATAAACAAAAGTGTGTTGTAATATAAATCTGACAACATTGGATACTCTTACTTATTTGAGATATATCTACGAGGTGAGGTTTAAATATTTGCCGCCACTACTAGAAGATAAATGAAAAAGTGAGGAATCATATTCACTTAATTTGATTTCTAAATTAACCTGTTATTACTAAAGTAGTATTGGATGGGAACTTTAGAGAAAAGGACACCACACAATAATAATCATAATACTCTCCCTAATTCACCCTTTTAGAGTGAATTTTAACCCCAAAATCTGAGCTTGTGCGGGGAAAGGGACGGCCATTATTATTATTTGCCGTGGCGCTCCGGGGCGACTTAAAGATGAATGATGATGCTATTTGACTTACAGGTAAGGAAAACCCGGAAAACTCCACCCACCATCATCGAAAACGGTAACGCATGGTGATTTTATTTTAATAATCTGGATGTCATATCAAGAGAAATTAAATTTCTGCTAATATGGCATCCATCAAATCCTATAGAGAACCATGCAAATAAATTCACATGGTCTTCCGTAGGATCTGAAACCGTGTCTCGTTTACCAGAAAATTGGCTTACAAATGAATGCCGCGCCGTAGACACCTCTACGCTACCGTAGTCGTAATGATATTAGAGAAATTAAAACAAAATCCGGGTACTAAGAATACCATCGGATAGAACGCCCATTATTCACGACTTCAGAAAACCTTTTGATATTCAAATACCAGAAAGAGCCAAAAGCCGAGAAAACAGGAAAAAACAAAACGAATCAATCTGGTATACAGACGATTCGAAAATGAAAAATAGCACAGTAGCTGGGATCTACCATGTGAACTCAGGGATGACAATTAGTCTGAACCTGGGGTCACTGACAACAGTCTTCCAGGCTGAAGTAACAGCAATAAATGTCTGCGCCAAAGTCATGCTAAATGACTCTCTTAGAGATAAGAGGAACTTTATCATGACAGACAGTCAGTCAGCCCTTAAAGCACTGAAAAGAGTAGAAGTACAATCTAAATCAATATTTGATTGCCAACAGTCCCTCCAGGTCCTGGCAGAACATAACAAGATCACCCTTGAATAGATGCCAGGACATGAGGAAGTATTGGGAAACGAGAAAGCAGACCTCCTAGCAAGGAATGGAGCGGAAAAAACTCTTATTGAACCAGAATCCACATGTGGTATCTCATACCAACATGTTAAATGGATGTTAAAGGAACAAATAAATAGATAACACCATAGGCTCTGGTTGGAACTTCCTGGACTTAGTCCAAAAGATTCATAGAGGGGCCATCCACGAGCAGACAAAATCAACTGCTAAACCTTAGCAGAAGCGAACTCAAGGCCGTGATAAGACTTCTTACGGGACACTGCGGCCTTAGAAGACACCTAAATCTCTTAGGGATATCTGATAACTCACTACGAAACTCCTATTCACATACTATGCGACTGTCGAAACCTTAAATGGGAACGGGAATGATAGAGCTCGATTTTTTTGTGAAGAGCACATTTCGTCATAGCTATGCCACACTCAAAATACCTAAATAAATGCAACAAGTACAAATAAGTAACACTATGCTACTGAATTCACTTGTATGAGCGGTGATGAGCGGTGATGAGCGGCAGGTGGCTTCGGACCACGCCTACAAACTCAAATTGGTTTCTGCATATTATGACGAAGCGTGCTCTTCACAAAAAATCGAGCTCTACATCGGGGTACAATAGCCGGAACCTGAAGAAATCACGAAAGCGCCCATCAGACATATTCTTGAATTAAGCAAGAAAATCAATCTGATGGGATAGAAACTGTAAGGGGTACAATAAGCCTAGAGCTTCAGTACAAGTGGGCTTTGAACCACGCTCTAATTCAGATAGATAGATTGGTATAAGTAGTGTGATATCGCGAAACATTGACTATAATGTCAAGTGTCATTCCTGTCAAGGTGAAGGTTGAAAATCAATCTTGTCAATGTTTGACGGGTTAGTTTTAAGTACTTTGTATGTTCTTTGTCATGTAAAATGAAAATAAAATAAAGTTAATATGGCTTATGAGATTATCCTTTTATTAAAAAGTTAACACCTGGTTATTACAATAATTAGTAAGTAAGCCCTATATCAATGTGAATGAGATTCAGTAGTACAAGTTAAAAGTTTTAGTCTTTTGACTAATACAGCAACATGTATTGATTTATATGCAAAGGAAAGACAGCAGAGATATAAATTTAATTTAACACTCTACCTTTGATTTTTCTCACTAACGAGAACGTCATTCTTGGACCGAATTCGTCCTTATTCCCACTAAACAGGTTTGTTTTGGTTCCAATTTAAGAACCGTTCTAACATGCGCAGTGATTTAACATTGTTTTTGTTAATTTCGAATCAGTTCAGAACCGGAGGTGACGTAAAAGTCTATGTTTTGTTTCACTCATGGAATTATTTTAGAACTATTCTAGAACAGTTCAAACAGTTCAGGAGAGGGATTCTTATATGTGTACTCAACACGAAATAAATCAAATAGAGAGAGAGAGAGAGACATTACATACAAATTTCATTCTGTGGAACGAAGATAGTCGACCCAAGACGTGCCAAATTGAAAGATGAGAATCCCAATGCTTACTTGTGAGGAGGAATTATTTTAGAATTTTTAGTTCGAGTATTGAAATGCGTTTAGAAACCTCGAACGGCGCGTCTGGCCACATGCATTAGAATAGGGTCCAGACGCGCCGTGCCAGGTCTCTAAACGCACTCTTGCGTATAGTGAAGGAAGCTATGAAACGACAACTGACAACTAATTATTGATTTATTTAATTCATTTTATGTTTTGAGCTGTTGATTATCGAAATTTGAGATTGTGTTTTATTGATGTCTTTTTTACGCTTGTATTTTTATTAGAACTTTATTAACTTAAAAAAAACTTGTCATATTACCATTATCCATGGGGGGATGACTAATTAAAAATTAAATAATATTTATATATACTAATTTAAAAAATATGGGAAACAAAAAACAAAAGAAGTAAAAAAAAGAATCGAATAAAAGATATACATTAGTTAAAATTAGAATGGAACAAAAGATATCAGTAAAAGCGTGTTAAAAGAATCGACAAGAATGCATAATAAAGAAATATGACGTTTACATCCCTTTGTTACTCTTAAGAACAAAAAACAATAGCAAATCACAGTTTTGCAAACAATAATTGTTAGCTTCTTGTTATCAATAATACAAGGCTATAGTAAGGACAAATGCGAAAAAGAAGAACAAAAGTGTTTTGGTTCATACTTTCTTGAATCGAGTAAGAATCAGATTTATTATTTTTTCAATGCGCAACTTGTTCTGCGCAGTTTTAATAAAATTCTTGAACCGTTCTATTTTTCGGAACCACAACAAAGCTATAGAAACTTACAATCACTTGTTGCAATTTATTTTCAGCTTGCAACTAAAACTTATTTCGAAAGTGTATGGAAAATTTATTATCTTTCAAACCGAAAGTTTTTAGTAAGTTTTTATAGGAAAATTTATATTTTTAAACTTGAGGTAATATTATTTTTGTATATTTGCAAAATAAAATTAGCAGAAAATTTTCTTTCTTAAATGTATTTTTGAAAACTTTATATAAGTTCAATAAACCAAATTAATATCCAATTTAAAAATAAAAAGTTGTAGACAGTTGCTGCAAGTTTATTTTCGGCTTACAAATAACTTATTTTTATAAGTATGTGGAAAAGTTATTATAATTTTACAAATTTTGGTTTACATTCGGAAGTTTTTAGTATGTTCTTGAACGAAAATTTATATTCTTAAACTATGATTCAAGGTGGGTACTTTTTTTTCTCCTGGGCTCGTTTGACTATGTCTCCGAATAACACTGAAGCCTATTGGCTTATTGTGTTTTACCCTATGTTAGTTTATAGCACCCACTCTGCCACCTTTGTACCTTGTACAAGTTTGTACAGATCCTTGGGTGAGTGGGTTCTATACGTTGTTGGATCAACCTGGGGTTATCCAAACAGAGCCTGTCTTTTGCGATCTAGAGCTTCGCATTTGCACAGTATGTGTTTGGCCGTTTCTGGTTTCTTGTGACATAGTCGGCACATGAGTTCCCCATTGTACATGCCAATTTTATTCAAGTGTCCCTTTACTTGGGCGTGCCCAGTCATGAACCCTATTATCACTTTCAACTGGTTCCTATTCATAAAGAGTAGTTCTCCAGTTCTTTTGGGACATGGTCTGCCTATGAAGACTTTTCCATGTGCCTGTTTGGGGTGCTTCCCCAATAGTTAATATGTTGTTCCCGAATCCAGTCGTTTATGAAACCCCCGACTGTACTTTTTGGTACTCCTGGACTCCTGGGTTTGTGTCTGGTTCCGGTGTTTCTTCTGACCCTCTTTTTGCAAGTTCGTCAGCCTTTTCGTTACCTTCGATCCCTTGGTGACCTGGCACCTAAAATAGTTTTACTCTATTTCGGTCTGCCAGTGTTCTTAGTTCTTCAATGCATTCCCATACCAGCCTCGACGTAACTTTCTGACTCGATATGGCGGCCCTAAGTGCCACTTGGCTGTCTGACATTATTTGCTGATATGCTGATTTTCGACAGCTCTTTCATTGTTCGTTTTTGTACATTGCAAAATTGCGTATACCTCGGCCTGAAATACCGAGGAATTTATTCCTATAGCATAGCTATGGTTATTATCAGGGTTTTTGGAGAATACTCTCGCCCCAGTGCCTTCCGCAGTCTTAGACCCGTCTCTATACCAGGTTGTTCCTGTCATTGGGCATTGGGCTCCCTTATGGTGATCTCCGCTCTTTACTGTATTAAAACCTCAAATAGAGTATTAAAAGAGTACCTCTTGGTTATGTGGTCTGATTTCATTTCTAGCACGTCTCCTGTCACTAACTTTGAGATACACATGTGACCTGGCCTAATGTCAAGATTTCCCAGTGTATTCCCTAGTCTGTAAGCACCTTGTTTTGCCTCCCCTTGTATCACATAGTGAAGAGATAGGAGTCCTATTAATGCTTCCATTGCAGAGGTGGGTATTTAAATCTATTTTTTAAATTATCAAAATCATATATCCGAAAATGTATTTCAAAACTTCATATACAGGTTTAATAACAAATATAATACGTACAAATAAAACTTAACATGGATATTTATTTCTCAAATTATCTTCTTCTTAATCTGATTTGATTACAACCTGCCAAAAAAAAAAATAATCTAAATGATGGATGAATATTATTCTTTGTCTTCTCAATATTTCGAAAACACCGAAATAATTCAGTGAACAGTTAAAGTGTAAATGGAGTGATCTACAATACATATGGAACTTGACTATTCAAGATCGGAATAGTTTAGTGATTTTGACAGCTGACAGATTCCGTACACCAAATTTTTAGCAGATTGTGATTGTGATACTTATTAGGCAAGAAAATGAGAGACGATATCGTCGGTATATAAACATTCTCTTGAATACCAAGTCTAAAATTTTTCATTTTTTACTTTGTAATGCCGTTGTTCCTTAAGTTCAATATTTTTTATCAAGAAAAAATGAACAACTCTAAAAATGTTAAATTTCCATAATGACCAAGTCCTTTTTATAAAAATATGTACAGGAGAAAATTATTAAAATACTAAAGAACTCAAAATTACTATCGGTGGACTGGTCACGTTCTCTTCTATACCAACGATATAGTCTGTCAACAATTAAAATTAGGCATTCCAAACAAATGATTGCCCGTGGGTTATGATATGGCAACCCTGTGGGCCTGGTGATTTGATTGGATCTATGATATAGATAGTTACGTAGATTTATCATCAATGCTTTTCAAAATAAATATAAGCTTATGCCTTGAAATAAAAATGTAGAAAATTATTTTTTTACTATATTCAAAGGCTGAATATTGGTTTCAAAACACATTTTTACTAAACCGATTCTAATTAATGAGTACTTACGATGCTTATATTATTATGGCTGCTCGCAAAGCGACTCGCTTTGATCAATCTATATAACAATAAATATATTATTCACCCTGTCAAAGCCAATAAGCGCACAGGGTTTCTATATCATGGAATGCCTAACTGCAAAGGCATAGAAATCCAAAATAAGGATGTTAAATTAAGTAATATTAGTTTATTGGATAACTTGGAAATAAATCAAGAAATATCTAATGATGGAACAACAGGAGAGGACCGAAGAATGAAGAAAAACCTACCCTTTAAATCTTTTTTGTCTTTTAATTATTGTGCCACACTGTGGCATAATAATTTAAAAACTATTTAAGGAGGTCCTTTCGCCACACCTCTCGCCTCAAATGTTAAAAAGAAGTTATTAGATTATGACTAAAATTAATTTTTTTCTAATAGTTGAAGTCCTTATTTATCTAATACTGAACTTTTAACTATACCTTACCTTGCAAATTTTTGAGAATTTTTTTTTTAAAAATGTAAGTATTTGTACAGTGCCTCACGAGAAAGTAAGTCCTCAACAACAATTCTCGAATTATACTATTATTTATTGATTAGATGGAGTAGAAAAAACTAAAAAGAAGGTTTTTGAAATATTTAGATTTTGTTTTATACAATAAAATATATATAGTAAACCGTGGAACTTATTGAGAAATTAATATTAAAAAATCACAAAAAATTTTCAAGTAACCTAGTTGAACATTTTTTGTGATTTTTTAATAATAATTTCTCAATAAATTCCACGGTAACCTATATATTTTATTGTAAAAAACAAAACCTAAATATTTCAAAAACCTTATTTTTAGTTTTTTTCTACTCCATCTAATCAATAAATAATAGTAAAATTAATTATAATTCGAAAATTGTTGTTGAAGTCTTACTTTCTCATAAGACACTGTACAAACACACACATTTTTAAAAAAAAAAAATTTCTCAAAAATTTGCACGGTAAGGTATAGTTAAAAGTTCACTATTAGATAAATAAGGACATCTACTATTAAAAAAAAATTAATTTTAGTCATAATCTAATATTTTTTATTTAACATTGGTGGCGAAAGGACCTCCTTAAAAGTCAGACAGGATTGGTATGTAGAAAAGACATATATTGAAATGAAATGACTAATGATTTTTTTTATCAAAATCAATTATGGTTTCGTTACATCAGGCTAAGGTTCGCTTTTAAGAAGAGACAAATGACTAAACAAAATATATTATTTCAATTTCGATTTCTTATTGTGGTTTTATCAAATTTCTAGGTTTTATAACTTTGACTCATAAATGTTTTATGTATATTCATGTTGTTTTTCTGTTATACAAGATGTTTAATTTAGATATAAATTAATAATGAGACATTATATAGGTACCTATTTTAATTTATTAATACCTAATGGAATATTAAAAATGGCTAGAAATTCTTAAAATATCGAGTGTCCTGTTATATTTTTACACTTTTTAAACCTATGACCTTTTGAACTAGTTGAGATAATGATATGCAGTTTTCATTATTATAATTTTTATATGTATTTTTTGTATATTCATCTTTTTTTGACTTAGGTTTTATCTAACCGAATATGACATTTCAAATTTGCATTTTTATTTTTAAGCTTGCAATAAATTTGCTACCAATGTATTTTGCTTAGTGGGTTAGGACTAATCAGCAAGGAATGGATATATTTTCTTTTCAGTTCCAGTCTCTAATTGAATTAGCAAACTCGTCTTTGCAAAGGCAGAAAATTCACTAGTATACATTGAAGATAGTTACGAAAGAATAAGTAGTCAAATAGTAAAAATAGTAGCGCCATCTGCACATAGTAAGCGAAATCAAAGGTCGCTTGTACTACCCAGTTTTCAAAAATTGCTTGCATGGCTTTTAGTTTTACCTAATTTTCAACAGAATTGTAAATTATAGGTTATTATTTTCTCAACTATTTTTAAAGAAGTTTTAAATTCGGTGGACAAATGGAACTAAACCTGTTTAGTAAGCTCGATTTGCTATTAGAGACAAAGTCGTGGATATTATTTTTAATCATTAACATAATATAGATCGGGAATAAAAAAAACTGTTTATTTTTCATACGCTTTCCTTGCATCGTTATCGTTGACCTAAGAAAAAGAAACAAACATTTCATGAATTTCGGCTGAAAATCATTTTCTGTTTATCCATAATACAGGGAAAATTGATGTTAATTAGTAGATTTAATTGAGCATAAACAAAGTTATTGGTGAAATATTTGATTTCTTAACCCAGATTTGAAGTACAATAACTATATAAACATTCCAGTTTCAAATATTTTTAATGAGTATGACACACATAGGTTTTTGAATGGTTTCCAAATGTACTGAATGAAAATGTCTTGATTATCTGTTTTGATAATTAATAACTGAGTCGCAACGAATATACCTAGGTAAAGTTTAAATGAAGGTCTCAGAAATAAAAGGATATTTTTAGTAAAATAAGGATTGGAAGTTTAACAATAAATCTATATGAGTACATGCCTTTGTTTGGTTCTGCAATTTACTATAATTATATATCTAGGTATGTATATATTTGTCACGTTTATATCTGCATTTTAAAATTGAACTTGACTCTCTTAAAACTAACCTTTTATTAAAATACCCCTCTGCGTTTAAGCCCTTCAATTATATCAGTCTTTTCAACTTGTTAATGAACAACTAATAAACTTACAGTAAAACATTTCTTACAAAAACGACTACAATAAATAAATATATCTGAGTCTCTATTGGTACGGTTTTGACTTTTTTTATTTATGGGTTATTGCAAAAAACTGTTTTGGAATTTAAAAACTAACCTGTCGTAAGTGTTCGAGATCTGCCTTATTTCCTAGCAGTATCGTAGTCATCTGACTCCTCAAATTTAGAACTCTTTGAAGCATATCACTAGCCTGGTTAAAGGAGTTTCTACAGGTTATATCATAAACTACTACGCATGCATCTGCCCAATAAATGGCTTCTTCTGGAAATGCTTTGATGTCGCAACTGCATACGTCAACGATTTCTACTTCTAATGATGAATTGTTTAATGTTAGGGTTTGGCGATAGAGTAGATCTGAAAGAAAAAAGAAAAAATAAATATCTAAATAGAATAAGCAAATACAAAATGATAGCAAGGTATACATATTTAGAATAGTTTTATTACTAAGTAGAATTATACTTTTAACTTCTTTTAAACAAATGTATAATTACAATGAGGACATGTGAATATTGTTATTACAAGGACCTACGAACTTTTGAATTAAACAAGTAAAATTATTATATTGTGATTATTGCGCTTATTTTGATGCCTAGATTTATTATAAAAACATGCCAATACCTAAAATTTGTATGGATGCAGTAATATACCTTTATCTGTAATAAAATATGCACGTCTCGGGAATTATTACCCCTTACCGTTAGGGACTATTGCTGGAACATACTAAAGTTCTTAGTAGCTGATTCCAGAGACTCTGTTACGAAATAGCACGTATCAGAATAGCGCTATTGTTTAAGAGCCTAATTAAAATGGCGATGAATGAAATGATGCTCGATCTAAATAGCTCTGGAAGAAATAGCACCTGATCAAAATAGTGCTGAACGAAATAGCGTCTACTTAAAATAGCGCGTATCAAAGGAGCATCTGAACGAAATAGCGCATATAAAAAAACGCCTTAATAAATAAATATCTTCTTTTGAAATAGAAATGGAGTATTGAAACAGCATTAGTCTAAAATGGTTCTGTTGCAAAACAGCGCCGAATAAAATAATAGCGAGTTTTAAAATAAGTGCTATTATTTTTACATAAATAAATTAAAAAAACTGAACTTATTTACCTAACCTGTGCGGCCTGGAGTTATCGTTGTTTGATTCGCAAAAAATATACATAAAATGAGAAAAATTAGTAAATCTTAACTAATTTACCTAACCTGTGCGACCTGAAGCCATTTTAAAATCAACGATTCCTCACACCATAGTTAAGGTTTTTTTATTTTTTTATTTATTGCTTAATTTTTTGGCCCTATTTTGACTGACGCTACTTCGTTCGGTCGCTGTTTTAATTGACGCTCTACTCGCTATTTCGTTCAGAGGCTCTTTTGATACATACTATTTCGTTTAGGCGCTCTTTTGATACGCGTTTAGGCGATCTTTAGATATGCGCTATTTCGTTTAGCGCTAATTCGTGCTAGTACCCATTCCAAAAGCCATAATAGGAAGTCTAGTTGTTAGTTTCTTATAAGAATTGATATTCTCTCTCATGTGAATTTTTGTTTTCGAATTGGTTGTTAATCCATTCATAAATAGTTTCGCAAGTCTGATTACGCCAGCGAATGTTCTTTTAACATATTCTCTTTTCTATTTGATAACCATTTTGATAAAGATTCCTTACACTATTTTATTTCATCTTTCCTGACTACTTATAGTTAGAACAAATACAACACAACAAAATCCACGCTTTCATTTGGAGTGACCGTGATTGAAATGTTTCAAAGCGTCCAATTCTTCTGGATGTCATCCTAAATGATTAATTCCATTTTGAAGTGATGTAAATGAGTGCCTTTAGACCACACAATCAAGATTCATGTTGGTCCTTTTAACTGGAACTATATGACATTTATCAATAATAGGGCTTTAGAAAGTTTTCTTATACTTATAATTTTCAAATGGACTTATAATAAAATATAATTTTAATGTAGTTAGTAATCTGTTGGGACAGTCTGTACAACACTAAAATATTCCGTTAACGAAGTTATTCCAACAATGTGCGGATGCTAGACGAGTGTATCCAGTTTTAACTCGCATTCTATAATATCTTTTCCATTCCGTACCGTCCTTTTATATAGTAGTTTTATAAATAGTCTCCCTCTAATGATCCCGGTTCTATGTCATCGGTATATAACAGCACCTCTAGAATACATAATTTCTGAAATATTTTAAAAACAAATCTTAAGTGTTTTGTTATTTTTACATCGCTCTTCCGTGTACATTCTTTTGAAATGAGTTCAGTTTCGCAATTTTTTTTTTATAATTATTGAATGGAACTTATTTTATAAGATATTCAGAAAACATTATTTTCATCTCTCAGATAATAGTAATGAGAATAATGTGTAGAACTACAAAGCCTATTTGTCTAGAAAATTCTTCGTAATTTAAATAATAATTTCATGTTTGATGCATTAAATAAAAAAGAAAAATATGTGGGTTACAGGGCCGTAACTATTGAAAAATAAAGAAGAAAATTTAAGAAAAAAATTTCAACGGTGCTGGGTTAGGTTAAAAGTGAATGGGATGATATAATCGCATCTAATGCAACCCAAAAGGATCTATTATGGCTCATGTCTAAATTATTGTTCATCATAGAAGCCTCACCGTGGATGGAATTAGAACGGGAAGGCTCCAGTCTAGTAAAGCCAAATTTCTGAACCCAAATAATTATTTCCAAAGATGCGCAGTTATATAGGATGTGCGCTGCAGATTTGTTTTTCACATTGCAGAATAGAAAGTGATATTGGTTGAAGGCCTATTATCCTTCAAAGTGTCCTGCCATGAATCCCAAAGATTGTTCCTACTCCATTAACTCCATTGAAAGGTTCGTTCATAACGCCTTCGAATGAGTTAGCCCTAGAGTATCTCAACACTACATGAGTGTTTTACAATATGAACGGTATTCTAAAAAGTTCCGAACCAGCTTTAAGTCAACTGAGTTGGAGCTAAGGGCTTTAAGAATTGCCTGGCCTTCCGAAAATATTGTATAGTTATATTAGCGAGGGAAACTCTCTTGCTCCTAATTTGATAGCAATTATTTCTACTTGATGGATGGTAGCAAAAGTCCCCAGGTTTAAATGATATGTCAAATCTAGGCTTTTGACCGTATAGTCCGTCATCTCTCCGAGATGAGGACACTGAAGGACTTTTCTATGTGCTACCGAGGAACTAGATACCATATCGAGAATCTGGTGGTTTTCAATTTTACTCAACAGACCCATTCTGTTTCATCGCAGTTCTTCATTGCTTTGGGTACCCATAATCAGGGGTCTATGGAAATCATCATGGCTCATCCTCTATTTTTAGCAAAATGAGATACAGGCAACTCTTAATCAATACGGTTGACATTGCACCTCAGTGATGGTCAGGTATGCAAGCCTTTGAATTCCAGACAGCTTAGCTCTGGAAGTCCGCTTTAGCTTCTTGTCCAACTAAACGACCGAGCTGTACGTGACCATTGTTTTTGGCACGGTTTGATAAATCCACAAGATTGTTTATTTAGGACATTTGGTAGACTGTACAACATTCTGACCTCTAGCCCATTACATTACTTCTGTGGTACTTGGAATGTAGGTAGTCTTGCAAGAACTTGACAAGTGTTCAAGTTTCAAGTAGCGTGAATGCAGGACAACCAAAATAGAAGGCGAGGAAGGCACAGGACCAAAATGTACGTGAAGCGTGAAATACTTTAATTTGTAGGATCGAGTTGCGTATAGCGAACTTAAAAGAAGATATTACAATAACTTCCAGCTCTTAGCTACATTACTTTATAGTAAAAAGTACAAAAGTAGTAACTTTACATGGTAGGCGAAATTGATTGATAGTAGCATAATGTTATGTCTGAGATTTTTTTATGAAGGGTCGTCCCCAATGATAAAAATCTGGGTAGCTCTAAATAATTTGTTAGTACGGATCTTAAAGCAGTTTTAAAATCTTGGCACTCCAGATATGACGAACAAAGAACAAATAACAAATCTGTCGGTTCTAAATGTTATAAATTGGACCAAGTACGGAGATAACTTAAGTTGCTCGATAATAAATATAATCTTTTTTTTAAATGACATTTTTATTGTTCGACATAAAATGTGACATGAAATGGAACATAAAATGCAACATAAAATGCGCAGATTTTTTCGGATAAAAATATTTAAATTTACTCAAATAAGTATTTTAAATATCAGATGTAGATAGAATAGGTCGTGAAACATAGATCACTTTCAATTTTTTGCTGTTTTGGTTTGGTTTATTTCAAAATGTAACATGAAGATACAATTTTCTTAGATGACGATGCAGGACCAATTGTGGCTCCCTTTTAGGGCTCCAGCCCCCTAACTTTATTTATCTTAAAGTTTAATTTTATTACTTATATTGACTGGTCTTTCTAAATTATTAGTATGTATTATTCACTTCATTTGTATGTTTTTGTTTAATTTAAATAATAATTTTGTATAATATCTTGTTATTTGTTGCGTTTTAGCATGTTTTTATTCGCTACATCTTACAGAGGATGGCTTTGAAATACCTAGGCAACAAAGGTTAACTAGGTACTTTCCTAAAAGTGACTAAAATTTTAAACCAATTGCAGTTCCTACAGAAAATCTCCAGTAAAAACGAAGCGTTTGTCTGCATGCAGTGAGAGTAGAATAGGTTAACAAAGCTGGCAAAGGACAAGACAAACCTTTGTTAATATTTCAGGGCAATAGTGTTAACGGCAGAGCATAGTTTTCAAAAGTTTATATTTCTTATATTTATGGAGATTCTACAAAACTTTTTAGTAATCAATCAAAATATTTCAGTATCTCCAGAATTATAAACTTTTAAAAATTATAAAAGGAAACATATTTTATAGAGGTATGGCCTTGACTAGGAGATTATCCGAATGAGCATGTCTAGTAAACATTTAATTTAAAAATATAATTTTAATCAAACTATTGAGCCTCTACTTTAATATTAACAATATCGAAATATATACATTATATTGTGTTAACATGTAGATACCCTCAAAAGTTTAAAAACATTACTAAAATAAACCAATTTCAAACAACTCCTGTTTTTATTAAATAAATACTAGAAAATATCCTATTGACAATAACTAGTTTAATTTAATTTAATTCAAGTAATTATACTGTGTGTCTACTTAAGTTGGAACCATATGGAAAACATTTTTATTATTGATTTTAGGAAAAAAAGTTAAAAAGTTAAAATACAGTCATCACATATCAAATTTTTCAAGCCTTATACGAGGTTTGTCAAAAAATATGAATTTTGCTCAAGAGTAAAGTACGTTTATTTTTGACAAAATCGAAAATT